TAAACTATTAGGAACATTTTTAATACAGCTAATAAATGGTAATGTAATTATTCTTCATTATAGAGTTTTTACAATCTCTTTATTGTCTTAAAAGTTTCATCCAGAGATGAAAATAAAATAATTTTAAAAGTGATTATAATAAAGGAAAGAAACATGAGTCCCTTTATTATAATCACTTTTAAAATTATTTTGTGATTTACCATGCCCAGATATTAGATTATGCTTTGCTTCTATGCAGTCTATTATAAACATTATGTAAGGGTTGTTAATGGATCTCATTTACTTGAAAATGTTTCATAAGAAGTCTAAGAAACAGAAAGTCTAACTGAGATCCAACTCTTCTCTTCAACCAGGACAATCAACATATTTCTACTGGTTGACATAAGAAGGCATTTCATAGGCATGGTTAAAAATTGGTTAGCCCATTCAGAAATTTTCAATTCTCTAAACTCCCATTTATCAGAAGCTACGTTGAAGATGTTATTCCTTACTTTATCCCTTTAGGGAATTGGCCACCATCTCTTTTTAACTTTTTGTAGGTGGCTGGAACATTTCCAAATAATACATTGGGCTACAGGCATCAATTTGTTTTGCTTTATTTTATTTTTCTAAGAAAAATTATGGCTATGTTAGACCACCCCAAGACTACTACAACTTGCCAGAGAGTCTATATGGCTAGGACTCAATCTTTATTGTAATTCAAGAATGGTAGTTATTACAAATAGTAATTAGCCATTTAGGCTGATTCTGAGCATCTCATATTTGGATTCAAATCCAGCAGCTTCTCTTTCCATGGTTCCCTCTGTGACATGATATCCTGGCCCTCCCCCCCCCCATAGTTTTGAATGCCAGTTGCTTATTTACATTATTTGCATTTCTGATCTGGAAAAAAATAGATAATAATTAACCTGACAAAATGGATCCCATGTGTATTCTTTGAAATAAAGACAATTGGAGATCAGTGCTTTCTTTTGCGAAGTATACCAGCTTCATGTACCAAAGTTAAATGGATTGCAAGAGAGATGCCTGAAGATAGATTAGTGTCAGCAGGAATGTACATATAATTTTATCCAGGGCTTTTTTTCTCATAGAACGCCCAGAACGGAGTTCCGGCACTTTTTTTGAATGGAACCTTGTAGGGTAGGCAAGGCGGGTTGTATGACGTGTGTGAGTTCCGGCACCTTTTTTTTATCCCATTATTCCCATTATCTAATGCTCATTTAAACAAATAATTCTATGAATGCAGTCGTAGCATGCCTTAAGCATGAAGCTTTTTAAACTAAAGCAAAAGTTTCATGGTGTATTTATCATACTTAACTGAAAGAAATTGTCCAACAAAAAGAAAAATGTCAGAAATTCCTTTCTCACAAGCTTTGTTTTTCTGTATTCTTCATATGTTTAGTCCCAACATTTTTAGAGTAGCACCACCAGAACTGATAATTCTGGACGATGATTCCTATGCATATATATATGGAAGATGCCCAAACAAAGACAGATGGGAATCTTTTTGCTTTGTCTTTAGAGAGGGCAGGAGCTGAATCTAGTAACATTTGAATACAAATTATTCAAAACTCTACAAATTCTACTACAGGTAGTCCTCAACTTACAACAGTTTAGTGACCATTCAAAGTTACAATGGTATTGAAAAATGTGACTTATGACCGTTTTTCCCAATTTTGACCTTTGCAGCATCCCCATGGTCACATGAACAAAATTCACATGCTTGGCAACTGTCCCAGGGTCATGTGATCCCCTTTTGCGACCTTCTGATAAGCAAAGTCAATGAGGAAGCCAGGTTCACTCAATAAGCGGGTTACTAACTTATCAACTGCAGTGATTCACTTAACAACTGTGGCAAGAAAGGTCATAAAATGGGACAAAACTCACTTAAATGGGTCGCTTAACAACAGACAGTTTGGACTCAATTATGGTCATAAGTCAAGGATTACCAGTATTGAACAATAATTGCAGCTAATTTGACACAATAGTTTCCATTCCCCCAAAAGACAAAGGAAAAAACTACTTTGCATCTTACTTTCCCATCTGAGAATTCTATAGGTATACATCAAAGAAAAATTCTGAGAAATTAAAAAAAAAGTACTTCACATCTTAAACATTCCCCCCCCACCACCTCCAGGATAATTCTATAATTATTCAGCAAACTGAGAGAGAGAGAGAGAGAGAGAGAGAGAGGGGGGGGGGGAGAAATATCTCTGCACAATACCAGCTTGGAGACTTCTTTCTTTCTCACTCACTCCCTTCCTGGAGAGCTCCTACAGTTTTGATATATCTCAAATTATGCTGATGGTGCTGCAGCAGCAACATAATCAGTTATTTCTTTATAGAGTGCTGAATCACACGAAAAAAATGAATTATGGCTTTGGGGACAATGCAATCATTTTACTGCCTCTTTATTTGTTGCTTCATTTCTACCTCTTCTCTCTTCCCCTCTCTTTCCTCCGTGTGTGTGTGTGTGTGTGTGTGTGTGTTTGTGTTCCATAACTTTTCTATTAAAAGCCTGAGGGCAAAGCACTGAGCACATGGTAATTATAGCCTGTCCTTGAGGTTATGATTGTTACAGCACCCGCATAATCATGTGACCAAATTCACGTTCTTTGGAGCCCATCCACATGAATGATTCAGAGTTCAATTCCTTCCACATACCTATCTCCCTCCCATTTGTGGTCCTTTGACTGCCTTGCACATTGTTACCCCAGCCAGTCCACTCCAATACCTGCCCCATCTCTAACTGCCCCACCTGACCTTTGCCATTTTCTTCCACCCATGGCTGATGAGGCAAGCCTGTCCTGCCCTTGATGAGGCAGCTGTTGGCACCCTGAGGTCTTCCTGAGGGCATGTGCAATGAGGCATCGGGAAGGCCTTGCCTCACAAAGGCCAATCAAGACTTGTCAGCAGAAAGAGGAAGCAAATGGCAAAAGTAGGGTGGCAGAAAACAGCAGGGACAGAAAAGTTCATAAGAGTGGGTGGAGAGCAGAGCAGGAGGGGGCAGAGTGCATAGCAGCAGGACAGTCAGGTCAGCAGCATGCAGGATGTCCAATAGGATATAGGTTTGGGCGGAGAGATAAGCAGGTGAGGGGAATTAAAGTAGAGGCAAGTGTAAGCAGGGCAGAAGAAGTGTGAGATCCTGGCGTAATGACCATAACTATCAAAATTGCTATTACTAAGCAGTATAGTCATATGATGTTCCAGCTACATTTCTATAATAATGGAGATTCCATTCCCAATTAAGGTTGTTAAGCAAGGACTACCTGTATTAATTATATCTTTCCGCTTCCTTTCTATCATTGTTCTCTTGTTGATATAATAATATTTTGGATTAAAGTCAATTTGTTCTCTATCTCATGTAATGGGCTGTAATCAATTAAATTATATGTAATAATAAATATGTTCTTTATGCTGCATAAATATTTTTTTTGGTTCTAAGATGCCTTGGAGTTAATATGATTCTGTTTCATTTTTATTATTAACATAAATAAATGGGTTTCCTTTAAAATCAACTTTTGAATTCCTCCAAAATCCTTTGAAATGATAGATTTATATAGTAGATTTATATTTGATAGTATGAATCCCAGGTCAATGGTTTTATAGCTATTTTATGGCTGATTTGTGATTTGAATAAGTCACCAGCAGGTGGCTGACCTTAGCTAATTTTGAAGAAACAAAGTAAGGTCTGACTTGGTTAGTACTTGGATAGGCTAAAATTATAAAATGTGGGGGCTATGGATTAGAGTGGGATGGAATATAAAAATAAAGATTTCAGAAGGCAATGGAAAATCATTTCAGTACTGTAATCAAGAAAAGGATATAAATACTTCCATAATCACTAAGAGTCTAGCTCAGGGGTGTCAAACTGCCGGCCCGCGGGCCAGATGTGTCATGGCAAAAACACGCCCACCCCATTGCCGGCAATGGGAAAAAAAGTTGTGATACATCGAGACAGATCATGTGATGTTGCGAGTTTGACACCCTAATTCAAGGAACCCTAAGCACAGAAGCCCTAAATGCAATTTTAATTTATTGGAAACAAAACTTGAAGTCAAACGTTGGGCTTTTGACTTCAGTACTGTCTCTATTGAGGAATATCAACTCCATAGGATCTTATGTGTGGGTCTTTCCCAGATTCCAGGAGCTGATTTTTGAAACTTTCACATGCTCAGGAATAAGACAGACATAGTCAGAGGAAAGATTATGCTACTGTTCTGTAGCTTTGTTTTGATTAATGACTTATTGCATGAAAAGTGAACTCTCTGTTACTGATATACAATTTATTCCTAGCAGAGAATGAATAGCTTGGAGGAGTACAAAAAAGAAAAATATCAGATAACGTATACCTGGTATGAGATTAACTGTGTTTCTGTTTATTTATACTATTTCTATTTATACCATATCTGTTTATTTAAACTATAGTAGCATCACAGCAATAAGGCAAATGAAAACAAAGCTACAGAACAGTAACATAATCCTTCATCCGACTATGTCTGTCTCAGAAAACCTTATTCCTGCAGCATGTGAAAGTAAGTTTCAGGTATGTACAAAGGTTTATATACTTAGCAAGCATCAGGCTCAGTTTTTATTAGCAACTTCAACATCAATTCTTTTCGTATTTATTTTAAATGCCAGAATTAAATGAAGTATGTGTATGGATGAATGGGGATTACAATAGAGAAATTTGATAAAGGAAATAAAAGGAAACATGCTGTCATTGAGAGAAAGCAGGCAGAGTGAATAAATGGACAGTATCTCTGGGAGAGAAAGACTAAGATAATTAATTCTCCATGCTGTTATAGTGTGCTAATTTTGGAAATATCTTTTTTAAAGATAATTATTGTTATCCAATAGGGATACACATTATACAAATGTTGCATTATAATCATATTTTATTCTGCATATTCTTATGTTTATTTGTAACTTGGTTTGATCTAGTATGAGGTAACTTACAACTCCACTTGGAACACCATTAGCTTGTTGTCTATCCATACCTGTCTTTCAGTGAGATCCAGGTTCACAGCTATTTCGTATCTCCGCAGCCTGGTGAGGTAGTTATGATGGGCAAACTCTGCTTCTAACTCTCTGATTTGCTCTTTGGTGAAAGCTGTTCTTTCTTTTCTGGGTTTGCTATTGACCTCAGATTTATAATTTCCCTCTTGAGAATCTGAAACAAAGACAAAATCAGGTCCAGAGTCAGGACAATTCTACAATTTATTTGCAAGGAAATATTACATATGAAAATATTGTTATAGATTAAAACATTGTAGTAAATATTTTATAATAAAAATAGATGTAATAAACATGTTTCTGATTTAAAGTCATTAAAGTTGACTGGATTATCATTCAAGACCAACTCAGTGTTGCATTACTGATGTCAACACTAAAAATCATATTAGTTATTGTTTCATTGTTTTGGTATTATTATTGTTTTATTTATTTGTTTGATTATAAATGTGAGCTACCTGAGTTGCTTAAATAAATAAATTGAAAAGAATCTACAACAAATTCCATGTCAAAATATTAATCTAGAGAGAAGCAAGGAGAACAGCAGTTCATATGTAAATTATAAGGTCATCTGGCCACATTGTGCTATTAATCTTAATGGCAGAATAATACCATTAATCCCAGGGTTTTTTTTAAAAAAAATACCGGTCATCAATAACCATGGCAATAGAGGGTGAACTGGAATTTTTCTCAGCAATTCACTGAGATTTTCAAAGTTAGACTGTAGCAATCCTAGATTGAATTAGTGATTGATACATGCCAATTAAAATCAGTAAGATTAATATGCTCCATTGATTTCACTGTCCCCTTATTAAGCATAATTAAATCTAGATGTAACTCATTTGTTCATTACAAAATGTTTTCTATGCAATAATAAGACCTTCATAACCAACTCGGGCAAAGACACAAACAGTAATACATAGACTCAATGATATCATTATAATTTATACCAAACTGCCATCCTCTCATTCTAATTGTTTATATCATTCAAAAGGCAATATAGTCATATTTTTTATAATACTTTTATGGAAAGTTCATTTAAGAAAAAACCTTTTAAATGTTTTTAATAATTAAAGTATCATTTTATTAGTTTTTTTCATGCAGTCAACCAGGAATGCACTTTTTATTTTTTTACCTATTACCTATTATGCTGTGTATGTTCTAATCTCATAGTACAATAGTAATTACAGTCTTATACTATAAACAAATATTCATCCTGAATCAATTATGTAAAATTGTATCTTATATAAGATCCATTTTCCATATCAATTTACGGGTGCCTTTGATTATTTGATTCCTATTTCTGTTCTTTGATTTTTTTGCATTTTTTTTTTACTTGATAAATACCACTTCTATGAAAAAGATAAGCACATACCCATTAGTCTTTATAGCATATTGTTAATTTATGGAAGTTATATCAATATAGGAAGTCATCCCATGAAACATGCTTTTAAATCAAACTATGATTCAGTTATCAGATTTCTTTGTCCTCCCTACCCTCAATTTTATAGCTATTTGTTTCTAATCTTGGCTATGCTATCTGCTGTAAATCCAAAATTAGCTAGTGTTCCACAAGAGAATCACTGGTCAACTTTTGGCTTCATCAACCATCTTAAAAATGTCACAGATAAATTCACACTTCGGCTGATGATTTAAATAGAAACTGCTTCAGCTTCCAAAAAGACAGTCTCATAAGCAGAATCTTTATGACACTGAAGGATACAACATCAGCATTCTGCAGATTATCATGTTCTGCCACAAAATGTTTACTGACTGCAACTTCTTTTAAGCTGTAAAAGACTTGGATCCATGTTAAACAGCATTCTTTAGAGAAACGATGAAAAAATAATAGTTTTAAAAGATATTTTTGTGATAATCTAATCATTATTGGTATTAGTGTAGTGGCCATTGAGAAAATATTTTATGGAAAACCCACAGGTCCATTTATTTATTTAAAAGCACACATTTAAAAAAGAACTGTGTACTTACCTGTAACTGTAGTTTAAAGTGGTTATCTGAATTCACACCCATGACTTATGTACCTATATAAAGCCCATTAGGAATCTTCTATAATCCCATTCCCTATGTGTACCATGTTACTAGGTTCTCGCCATAGCCTTTCAGTTTGATAGCACAGAGTTCCAAAAGACCAGGAGGTCACCTGAGATCAAGTGGAATAGGAAGGAGATTATATGAATTTTCATATGACTATTCAAAGCACTGCAGTAACAAGTGAGTAGCCAGCATTTCTCCAATGTGAGCTAAACCTCAAGTTCAAGAAAATATGCTAATATTTTGAAGGCCTTTTGGATGCAAATAAACACTTGAAAATATTGCAGATAAGAAAAATGTTGCAATTTACTGTTTAGCAAATGCTTACCAATGTTTATAAGTGTGCATTATGTTTACCTACACAAAATTATATAATTCATTGCCTTTCAAGTTAGATAAGGATCTTTGCCTCTGAAATATTCTCATGTATGAAATAAGACTGTAAGTCAAAAATCTTGATGCCTGGGAAAGGAAAAAAAGTATCTTGAAAAGCAACTCTAAGTGATTTTGAATAAGAGTTGAATGAAAGAAAGTAAGGAAGAAAAACTAAATAATTTCAATAGAAGAGAAAATGTACATGCTAACTTTAAGAGATCAACAACAAATCAACAATGTTCAGTGGGAGCCATGCCTATTTGTGTGTCAAGCAAGAGGGGTGAAATTCTTACCAATCATCATTTAAATTCTAAAGGATTCTGACTGGGTTTCTGTATAGATACAGATCTCCTGTGCATGAATCATATAAACTCCAATAAATAATAAAATAATGCATTAAATGTATAAACTTTAGAATACAGTATAGACAGTATTTGGACACATAATGAAAGCAAGATAAAGAATCCAAATTAATAGCAATAGATGAGATTAGTATAGAATTTGGGTCTTGTTGGCTTTAATAAAAGATGTGACTAGAAGGAAATGTGATCAAAGTTGATAACCAACCAATCAATCTTTATTATAGTCAAGACCAGCAAATAAAGCATTAAAACAATAATAATAGTAAAAAATAAAAATAAATGACAGAATAATTATTTTTTTTTAAAAAAGGTTAATTAAAATTAGGGGTCATATATAATTAATGATGGCAGAAAAGGAAATAGTTTTTTTTTCTTTTTTAATTTAGAATGCCAAGTCCTCAGGCAAAACTAATGAAATCAGAGCTGGCCAAAGAAAGCACTATTTTAGCCACATGCATTAAATTTACGGCATCCACAACTAAGCCTGTATAGCTTTCAAGGAAATTCACAGACAGCATTTTTTTAGTGATTACTTGTTTAAGGTTTTATTGAATCTCTCAGCTCAGAGACAGAAAAAAAGTGATTTCAGAAAAAAACGTTGCTGAAAAAGTAGGCTAATACCATTATTATCTGTTCCTGAGCTTTTCAGAGAAATTTTGGGATGCTGGACTCATGGAACTTCTTAAGCTTTTGTTTTGTATCACAAAAATCTGGTCTATTTTACTAGCCTAAGTCTCAGGTAACTCTCTAGTAACTTCATCAGCTAATCTATCTATACTTGTATTCCATAACCAACATGTGGGGCAGGCATGCCTGCAAAGGACAAAATGACAGGCATAACTATGAATCAAAAGCCCACCCTTTGAGCATACAACAGCAGCACAAATAAAAAGGGGAGTCTGCAGCTGGGTCCACCATACTGAACCTCCTTAATTATGGATGCTTCAGATATAGATTGTTTCTTCATACCTACAATAGCTTGTCACACAAAGCAATTGCCAAAATTGGTAAGACATTTTTACACTTGTTTTACATTTTTACACTTATCCATAAAGACCAGTGGCAGCAATGGTTAAAGTTTCACATTTTAAACCTCAGTCAATAATAAGCCATTGGTGTGTTTCTTAGTTGAATAAAATGAGTCTAGCAAAAAAATTGATTATTTGGATTGTAAACTAAATGATTAGGTATGAATGCACAACAGATCATATTATGTCAATTCAGAAAGATCCTGTTTAAAGCTAACACATGAGAAAACTAACTTATTAGATCTCCTTGCCTTTACTGAGTAGCACTGTTTCATTGGCAAACTGGCATATAATAAAGTCTGCACACTACAATTTTATTGTGTATCACTGAATATTCATAGACTTGAAGGCTTGGCAAAGTCTTTATGTCATGACTATTCATCTTATTGTTTTCAATCTTTATAAATTTATAGAAATATATTTTCACACATAATTAATCATAATTAAGAACAGTGGTAAAGAGTATACAAAAATGTTTACTATTTAATCATGAATAGTTACTAATGATCAAATAAAAACATATATTTTTAAAGCTATCCACATATAACAGTGGTGGCGAACCTATGGCACGGGTGCCAGAGGCGACACTCAGAGCCCTCTCTGTGGGCACATGTGCCATTGCCCCAGTCCTAGGTTCAGCTGGGTTTTATAAAGTCTTTTCACTTTAGGCCTCCGCCACTGTGTGCAAAAAAAAAAAAAAAAAAAGTTCAATCAGTCAATTTCAACTTCTCGAGGGGGAAAAAAAAGATCTTGCAAAGTTGGAATTGATTGATTGAACTTTTTAATCCCATCCAGTCTGCCGTTACCACCGCAGCCACGCCCACCCAATGGGCCACACCCACCCAATGGGCCACACCCGCCCGGCACTCGACGATGCCTAAGTGGGTTTTGGGTTGCAATTTGGGCACTCAGTCTCTAAAAGGTTCGCCATCACTGACATATAACCATGCAACAGGAATGAATTCATGCTGAAATTCATATTATTTCCTCATAATTTGTATCAAAGAAGTAAATGTAAAACAGATTGTTAGAAAGTACTGATACACATAAAAAAAGAATTATAGGATAGTTATAGTTTCTATAATATTATTATGAAATCCTTACTAAAAATGTTGCTTATAATGCCCTTTCTAATATATTGAACATGATGAATTATATATTGACCTTACTGAAGTATTTGAGATATAAAATGAATTTAAAAGTTACACTATATTTAATATTTAATTAAATGACATATTGACATATATAAATGATGTATTTGACATATTATAACATTCAAGTCAGTAAAAAAGTGAATAAAACATAAATAAAATATATTATAAAATTTCCAAAGTGCATAGTAA